ATGCTATAGTTGATGATTGAGGTCGAATTTTGATGATTTTGGCTAAAGAATTACCTTAAATGCGCATCTACAGCGGTTTAAATATCAGACAAATTGGGAAAATGACGTGACCATCGGCGTGGTCGATTGTATCCCTGTGCCATTTTTAGCCATTTCTGAGTCGGGGCCGATTCGAGGTTCTCTAGTAAGTAAAGTTCCTGTCATTGCGTTTTAGACTAATGGAATTTCAGTTTTGGGATAAGCTGGTTGGTTGTCGATAGCTTGCACGCGAATACTTCCAAACCGCATCGCAAACATCTACGGAAGCGCGGTAGTCTCTATGGATTTTGCTAAAGATCATTGCCGATTTTTTTATGTCATTCCAGGCGCTCGAACTAATATAAAGCTGCTGGATGTCGCCGACGATACTGGAATGGAATAGCAGTACATTTGGAACCCTTTTGTTTCTCCGTTAAAATATTTTTGACTTGCTGACGATGCCGGGATGTATGTCGATAAACTCAAGAATCGAGGACAAAGAAGCCATGGAGCAACACAAGGAAATAGACCCATAGAGCGACGGCTTTCTAATGCTAATTTGCGCGTAAGTACAAGCTAAGTTTTAATATAATTATGATTTAACGTTTGACGCGTCCAGACGCGTCGAATTCACGTGCTGCACCTGCGAGTCTCCACCTTCTACTCTTTCAGTTCCCTAAAAAGAACGCATCTGCGCAAGTCTAACAGAAATAAGCATGATGTAAGGCTTTATTTCATTGATACATGCAAACAAAGGAAAAGCAAACGAGGACACATTTAAATCCGACCATTCAGAGCCTTTCGGCGGTGACTGTGCCCGACTGTGCAGTAGGCTGTTGCTTGCTTGTTGCACCTACCGCAAGTTGTTGCCGCCACGAGCTCATATTACATTGCCGTCCGCCGACAATAATGACGGCTTCCTGATGTCAAAGGCTTTTTCAGTTTTGCGCCAGGTGGCAACCTCGACCCCCTTATCGCAGACGGAAGCTCCATCAATCAGCTATCAATCACCCCATCTGCCCCTTCAGAAGATCGATGGATTGACGCATCAATGGAAGTAGATGTCAGCCACAAGAAGATGAAGCCCCCCCCATCCTACTCACATCTATGCGATAGAGATCCTGGATTCCCAAAACCTCCCGCAAAAATATCGGGAAATTACCTTTCTCAGATCAAGCCTCCTTCAGGTGACGCTTGACAGGTACTTTGTAGCGGTCGTCATACGTCGTCGCTCCGCTGCCGGCTGACCATGACTTCAGCTCGGCAGCATCATCGCCTCTTGCCTGAAAAGAATAGATATTTGGCGATAAAAAACTAGTTAATCGTAATAGACTACTCAAAAGTCAAGTCAAAACAACATTGTAATGTTTTAATGTAGCCTAAAATAAAGGATGCGCAGCAGGAGCAAACATCCCCCCTCCCGGTCCAAATTAGTTGAGAGGAAACGTACCATCCAACGACAGCATAATGCCGGGGCACGGCGGCCCCAGAACGAGCGCCCGTCCCTGCAAAACGACATAATGAAAACCACTCCCTGTAAGCTACCTGGCTGTGAAAACACTTGTGTAGATTGTCGACCTCGCTTTTCGGATCTTCAACTTGGCCTCGTCGCTCCGCTGCCGGCTGACCATGACTTCAGCTCGGCAGCATCATCGCCTCTTGCCTGAAAAGAATAGATATTTGGCGATAAAAACTAGTTAATCGGGTTCTTGTGTATTCCCGGGGGCGGAAGAATTCGCGGGGGGGGACCAACTTTTTTTTGTCGGCCCTGGTGGGGATAGTAATTAAATATAAAGTGTTTTCACATTGTTTTGAGCAAAATTTAAGCCTATTTGAATCGGAAAAACTTTTTAAAAAGTTAGAAAAACGCTTGAAAAAGTCGAAAATTTGGTCATTTTTGGGCCGAAAAAAAATCGATTTTTCGACCTAAAATTAAATTTTTGATTAAATTTTGTAAAGTTTTTATGTTTATGAATAGCTATAAACAATTTAGAAACACTTCCACTCTTATATAAAAAATCTAGGCTTGGGCCAAAAAAAGTTCAGTTTCCCCCCGTTCAGAGGCCGGGTTAACCATTTCAGAAGCCCGGGCAAGTGAGGTCTCCCACTAAAAAAACCACTAAATTCCCCCCGCCCCCAAAACAACTTATTATTTCTTAATGCTAAGGCTAACCGACACAGCCTTTCGAGCTAATCTAAACACCAATGCCAAAAGCTCGACGCAATTCAACGCGGCTAAAAGGCCGGGCGATTCCGCGAGATCTGTGCGTCAAAAGGCAAAAATTTGTAGTTGGGATGTCGCCGCCAGCCGCCTAAAATGAAGGCTCTGGGGAGGCCGAAGGGGGCGGAATCAACCAATCAACGAACGACTCAGCAATTTTAGGTAGGTAGTTCCAGGTAGGATGCGTAAACTGGATGCAGAAGACCGCATCGCTAGAAAAACCCCATGAAAACACTATACAAAACGTGAGTTGATGTAACCGCAATCGCCACTAAAAAGAATTCCTCAAAAGCGGGCATGGCTCACATGAGAAGCCTTACAGAAGCCTAAAAGCGGGCCAGGCCGAGCAAAGCCCCCCCAGTGACGGGAAACAAATAGTATCGCTATCCACCGGGCCATAATCTTCGACTAGGAGAAAATAGTGAAACGAGTGCACACCTTCTGTCGTCGTCTTGGCAGTCCCGAGCGAAAACTATCCTGTCGTCGAGCACTGAAAAATACATATACAATTTAGAAAATAGAAATTTACGTTCAATAGACTATAATTCGAATTTGAAACCGAATTCTGAAAATCCCGGAAGATTACTAGAAACTGGAGACCGAATGATGGATATCCCTATCTGCCACGAGTGCGGCAATCCTATAGGCCAACAATTATATTGAGCAACAGGAGACAAACCTGTCTTTGTCTGGCATTACGCAAGCCCTCCGCATCGTGGCGCTTGGCTCGAGCACGGTCGAGGGATCACGAGACTGGAAAAGTCATTATAATTTGGGAAGTCGGCGCCGGCAAATCGAAAAATATTGCAAGCGCACTACATTCGATATTGACCCCGAGCAGATGGTGGAAGCCAGCTAACGAATAAAGCCTTAAACGCTCGAATCGTTGGGAAGTGGGTAAAAGACCCAAGCCTTAGCCATACTGAAGTCTCAAATCAAGCCATCTCGATCGAATAAAAGCCGTAAGGCTGTAAGGCCAAAATCCGGAATCTGGATGGAATCAAGCGCTCCCTCTATCCGCTAATCAACTGCCTAGGCGAAAATTGTCAAAAGGTTGCCAACCTGTTTCCGGCGTCTCCGACGATAACACTGCCATCCATTCGCACGGCTCCTTCTGCCAAAGAAGCTGAAAAATTTTTCGTATATCTCGGAAATGAAATGTGTGAGTCTTGAGTATTCGCAGGGGAGACCGTCTTTTTCCTATGGGTCCACGTTCGTCGAGTAATCAAACATAAAGCGTTTTTCGATGGTTTTTGTAAGTTTTCACTATACTTGAAGCAGGAATACTCTCGAAAAAAGTTTGAAAAATGTGAAAGGTCGAAATTTTGGTGATTTTGCGCCTAAAAAAAACGATTTTTCGGCCTCAAATTAAATTTTGAATTACAATGACAAACGTCCGTGTGCTCAGGAATAGTTCAAAAAAATTTTTCAAACGCGTTTGCTATTTATATAAAAAAATCTAGGCTAATAATTAGTCTAAAAGTCCCCCCCTGCGAATACTCAAGTGCCAAGATGTCAAGGTAAGTATTTAGAAAACAACCTCTTCCCGAAGCCGGATCCTGCCCGAGACGGTCGTCCGCTCTGTACGGCCAAATCCCGGAAGAGTTACCTGAAAGGTGATGATAATTCGGAGGATTGGCCGAGGGTAGAATAGAGAAGACTAGCAGGGCTAGCCAGCAGAGATCATTTAAAAATCGGAAAAGCCATCGTGAGATAAGGGTCACTGAGGGAAATTCCCCCCGGAATCACCGAAATTGCGAAGGACTGAAAGGCCCAAAAAAAAAGTCGACAACGGAAAAGACGCCAAAATTTGGGTCAAAGCTTTTTGTGATGCACACGGGGCAAATTTGGGGACCGTTCAGCGGCCAGACGGCAGACTCCGATTCGCAAATAGTCTCTGCTAGCAGCCCCGCTCCGAAAATGTATGTGCTAAATGGTTTGGAGGAAGGCTCAGTGCCGCTTTGTGTCCCCTGCCATTACAGAGAACCCGCTTCGATCCGGAAGCAAAAAGCACCCCCCTACCAGTCATCAATAAGCAAAAAGCAAACGGGTTGACGCACACGGGCACCGAACTTGCCATGCGGCCATAAAAAAAATCTCAAGGACAACCGCGCTAGCCATTGCACCACGACGGCGAACAAGTGGGGGGACGGCAGAGAGCCCCTTCCCCGAGCGCGGGGGCCCGCTCCGGACGCGTCGAACCGGGGGGTAGGCAACATCGATTTCTTTTTTTGACGTCGATAAAATCGGAGATATTCATGGCAAAAATGAACGCGCAGGAATTATTCAGCATATTTCATTGGCGATGGAATGTGCCACGGCTCCCCGTGCGGATCCTCCTAAAAAGGATCTATTTTACAGTGGGGCAAGAACTGCGTGAGGTCTTCGTAGGCAGAAAACTGTCTCCCCGAGCTAGGTGGCCGGCACGGCCCTGGCAGGTCGGTAAGTCGACCTGAGAAGCTCGAGACTACCGTTTTATATCCACCATGAAATTGTTTCAAAACAAATGCCTTGCCCAAAAGATAAAAGGTGAGGGGCAAGCTGGCAATCATTGCTGTGAGACTATGATATCAAGTGCGTTCATTGTGAAGCCGGAAAATCATTTCTGATGCCAAATGGAGAGTGATACTTTATTGATCGAAGAATGCCCCGAAAACGACATGACACACCCGTAGCAAAATCACAATGTGGACGACAGATACTACCAACAAAAACAAACAAATTACAGAGAACATATACAACCATACAATTGGTCAATTCACAACGTGCAGAGCAGCTGTTCGGCGACGGACCTAAAATGAAAATGTTTAAAAACATTTAAACCACTAAATGATCACTTTAATCGCCGAAATTCAAACTACAATCCCGGGCATAGTTTCAAAAACTCTTACCCGTCTTTGTCGGCAATCAGCCTCGTCAGCTTGGTGGATAATCGGAAGCGGACGCTGTCGTCTCCCGTCTCGTCGCATAGTCCCGAGAACACGTCGCCGAGCTGGAATAGAGAGTTCAGTATGGGGCAAGACAAAAAAAGGAGAGAAGGTGTGAGAGAGAGCGAGAGAGAGAGAAAGCGAGAGAGAGCGAGCGAGCGAGAGTGAGAGAGAGGGAGATAAAGAGAGAGAAAGAAAGAGAGGGAGAGAGAGAGGGAGATAAAGAGAGAGAGAGAGAGAGAGAGAGAGAGAGAGAGAGAGCGTGAGAGAATTAAATAGAAAAAACCACACCTCGTCCAAAGGAATGTCCCGTAGCTGCTCATCATAGAAGGCGCAGCCGACGAGTCCCAGCGAAAGCCGAGGCCCCATTCCACGCCTCGAATCGACGACCCTTCGCAGCGTGGCCAACCCGACCGGGCTTCCACCCACGTTCACGTTTTCCACCTGAAAAAAAATATAGAAAATACGAAAAAAGCGAGCTTCTTTAAGAGGATATTCAAGGCAAGACCGTGGATTTCATGGAACTGGACTGTTAGCGGGGGGGCTTTTAGGAGGCTTACGTATTTTTATGGTGTTTTTAACAGTTTTGATTGCTAGAAAGTTATAAACCCAAAACCCAAAAACTATGCAAAATTTATAAAAATTTATTTATCGTTTTTAGACATCACAAAAGCTCAAAAAAATCAGACTTTCGAAAAATTTTCAATTTTTGCTCAAAAACTCATGCAAAAATTACTAAAAAAGCCAAAATTTTCGATTATCAAACCGTATAAAAGTATTTTTGATTGAATGATTTTGGAAAATAAAAAGCGCCCCCCCGCTAACGGTCCAGAACCTAAAAATCGAACCCTAGCTAGGCGCAAATTGGCAGTGCTAGCCTGCCACCCGAGGTTTTTGAACCCGAGCAACGTCCCCAATTTTCCTCAATTTTCTCTGCTCGACACCATGCCGGTACTGGATTTTTAGCGGGGGGGGGGGGCAAATTTCCCAAGTACTCCCGTGCGGCCCTAAAACGAAATAAGAAATTATTCGTAGAGTTATTTATAGTTTTTAGACACCAAAAGCTCAAAAAAATTAGAAACTGCGAAAATACTTCAAATTACTTTATTAAAATTATTAATTAAACGCCGTTCCAGAAAATGCTCGCAAAATGGTGGGCTAACTTTTAGAAATACAAAATTTCTGTGCACCCCTGTTATTCTCTCCCCCCCCCCCCGTTAAGAAACCAGACCCTCGAGTAGCCAAAAACGCAAAACAACCAACATCAATGCACAGCTCGGCGATGGCGGTCCCCTGCGCGTGGAGCGTGTGAAGTTCGGGGCATCGTTCGACGAGCAGCTGCAGCCCCGGCCCGTCCACCCATCGGCAACCGGACAACACCAACGTCCGCAGATCGTCCAGTTCTAAATAAAACAATAAAACAATTCAAAAAAAGAATACATACGTGTGATTGCATCGAAAACGTCTTCCAGCCCTTCCGACAATTCCACACCGCTGAGGTCAAGGTGGCGGAGGCCACGCGTGTGGGCCAGCAGCGAGCGGAGATGCTGAAAAAAGGGATTCAACAGGAAAATTTGAATATTCCAGCTAGCTGCAAAGCTAGCTAGCTCTCTGGCCGGCCATCATCACGGAGAAGTACACCAAAATCAGAGGGAAAAGCCACCGCCGAGAGGTTGGATTCGGAAGTTGGATGCAAATTTCTTGGACAATCGGAAAGAGCGAGCGAGAGAGAGCGCGAGAGATAGAGAGAGAGAGAGAGAGAGCGCGTGAGATATAGAGAGAGAGAGAGAGTGAGAGAGGGGGGAGAGAGAGCGAGAGAGATAAAGAGAATTTTCGTATCTGGACTCTCCTTGGACTTACAGGGCTGGCAAGTGTACCAAAATGTAGTCCTTGGTCCGTAGAGTAAGACGACCATACGTTTCAGTCGAAAAAGACCCAGAAGTTTGTTGCATTGTTTCTCACTTTTGCCATCTACCCCGAGATCACCCGATTGGGTGCTTTAAAGGGTATTGTGGCATGCAAAGCCCGTGAAAAGAGGCGGTTTAGCGCCCAAAACAGTGCATTTCGATCTTTAAACGTTTTGTTTTATTGAAAGGCAGTGTTGTCATAGGAAGGCAGTGGAAATGGACGAATTATTCGATATTTGATCATGCTTCTTCCTTCGATTCTTCGAGCTGGATGTCTTTTTCGTCGTCGTTTGGCGGGACGGGCGCCTCGGGGAGGGACGGTCTAATAGGGGAATAAGGTTTTGTAAAATAGCGTGTTCACCTCGTTTTGTCCAGCAAATAGTCAGCGTCATCATTGTCGTCGGTCGGCAATTCTACTGCGGTTTTAGATTAGAAAATGAGAGAGAGAGAGAGAGAGAGCGCGCGAGAGAGAGAGAGACAGAGAGAGAGCGAGAGAGAGAGAGAGGGTAGACCAACCTCCATCATCCTGCGTCGCTTCTATAAAACAAAAATGCCCATAATTAATTACAAACTAACAAACCTTGACTTTCCGGGATGTCATTCACCTCAGCCGGACCGGCGCCACCTCCAATTTCTAAAAGCTGGGTTATTTCATCCAAAAAACTCGACCAGGTGCCGCATCTGGCCTCGCGCCGCCTCCGATATCTGTAAAAAACGTCGTTAGGGAGAGAGAGAGAGAGAGAGAGAGAGAGAGAGAGAGAGAGTGAGAGAGAGAGAGAAACCTAGCCTCAAACCCCCACCTGAATCCGGTCGCTCCTCACCCACTTCCGGCTCCGCTCCGCCTCCAATATCTGGAAAAAAGCTTCCACAGTCGTTTCCATATTTCCCAAAGAAACTCGGCTAGCCTGCCCGCCGTTAAAATCGTACCTGGTCGATCGTCTTCCGGCTCGGCACCTCCACCGATCACTAAAAAAAGCCCGAATCGCTGCGCCTAAAAAATCGGCATACCAGGTCTCTCCTCTTCGGGTTGTGGCGGCTCGGGACGTTGATCTGGCTCGGAGCCACCGCCGATTTCTGGTTGGACTGGTTGATGTGGGGCAGCGCCACGACCAATATCTAAAATCGATTAAAAGGCAGATTTCCTAAAGAATTTCTTCTAGCCTGCCCTTCCAAAACCCAAACGCACCTATCGACGGTCGCCGATCCTCCTGTTCGAAGTTGTCGCTAAACATGGAAAAATATGATCTTTCATGCAAAGTAGATACCCTTAAGGGTAAGGTACAAAAAAGGCCAAATCGGTACCTATTGGGCTGCTTACGGTAAACATTCCCTTGATAGTCGACGACCGTGAGGCCACGATCGGCGCCCGGGGAGAGAATGTGGGCGGGCAGAGATTGTTGCCTGAAATTCGGAAGTTTCCCCAATGATCGCTGCTAGTCTCCCCCTAATTCCACGATGTTCTCTGCTCAGCTACATCTCCGCAGTCCCCCAAAGATCCCTGCTAACCCCGATCCCTACCCATTGCCAGCAGGTGCCGGGATGACGGGTCCTGGTCGCAGCACGCGTACGGGACGCTCCACCTCCCGACCGGCAGGGGGATTGGGGCGTAGTCGTTGCTGATGGGTGCGCGGGTCGTAGCCGCGTGGCGGTGCCGGCTGAAAAACGGTATTTCGTGCTTCTAGAAGTGGTACCTTCTGGCCGTCGGCTCGAATATTCGCCGCCCTCCACATTCGATCCATTTCCGGATCGTACTGCGAATCATACGGGTTGTATCGACCATCATATAACGATGAACGGGGGTCAAACCTGATAAATGGCACATGAATATCAGCCAAAGCTAGAAATTTAAGAGAACGTACATCGGATCATAGTACTCGTAGCTGGGGTTGGTGCGCGGATCCTTCAGACGAGCGTCATTCGGGTCGATCTGGGCGGAGGCCGGCTGCTGCTGGGGGCAACTCTGGAATTGGATGTTGATCTCTCTCCCGTTCTCTCTCACTCTCTCTCTCTCTCGGTCTCTGTCGCTCACTCTCTTTCACTCTCTCTCACACTCTCACTCTCTCTTTCCTCTCATAAACTATCTCTCTCTCACTCTGTCTCTCTCACGCTCTCTCTATGTCTCGCTCTCTCGCCTTTCACAAACTATCTCTCTCTCACTGACTCTCCTTCTCTGTCTCTCTCTCACTCACACTGTCCCTCTGTCTCTCTTTCTATCTCTCTCTCGCTCTCTCTCTCTCTCTCTCTCTCTCTCTCTCTCTCTCTCCCTCTGCTCTCTCAACCACCTCAAAGACGTTTCCATCTCGTGTCTTCACTAGAGTACATCCAGGTCGACTGGGCACATTCTGCTGATGATTCTCGGGTTGTCGAGGCTCTAGAAAAACCTCTATAAACCTTAAAAATCGCAAAAAATGCAAAAAAAACCGACGTTGAGGACGTGGCTGTGGCGGGTGTTCGGCCTGGGGGTTGTACACTGAAAAAACTAAATCGTTTCATAAAAACAGGTACTAATGCCATAGCAGGGGGTTAGGTACTAGTTCAGTACCAGGGGGTTAGATACTAGTGCAGTACCAAGGGGGGGTAGGTACTAGTGCAATACCGGGGGATCATGTATTAATGCATTACTGGGGGTATAGGTACTAGTCCAGTACCAGGGGGGCGGGTACTAGTGTAATATCAGGGTGTTAGGGTACTAGTGTAATACCGGGGGAGGTACTAGTGCATTACTTGGGGTATATGTACTGATTCAATACCCAGGGGGGTTAGGTACTAGTGCAGTACCAGGGGGACGGGTACTGATGCAATCCCGGGGGGTCGCGTACTAATGAAATACCAGGGGTAAGGCCTTAGTGCAATATCAGGGGGCAGCTAATATAAAACTTTGCGCGCGCGGATGGATTACATGTCGTAATGCCGCCCCTCTCCCTCCTCCACTGACTTTGTCCAGGATGTCCGGCCCATCCCTCGGCATGTCGCACGTGCGGGTCGCTGTAGGCTGACGCCTATAAATGACATTCTCGTTACAGGGCGTAATTTGTGGTACCAAGTACGCGCCAGTCCGCTCGGGGCCACGTTCAGCGGTGGATTTGCGAAGGAAATGAACGCGTGTGTCGAACTCGTAGCCGTCGGCCTGAAAATTGGGCGGATGGGCGGGGTCTTGGCGAGAATTCAAAGCGTTTCCGGGTGGAGGGGTCTCAAACCCGGAGAGGGCCCACCTTGATGATGTCGTCGTAGTTTTCGGGGAAGACGCCCTTGAATTGACGGGCACCACGGTCAGGGAGTTGACCATCACCGTATGAGGTCTGAAAGGAGGGGGTAGAGAGAGAGAGAGAGAGAGAGAGAGAGAGAGCGAGAGAAAGAGAGCGATACAGAGCGAGAGAAAGAGAGAGCGAGGGAGAGAAAGACGGGAAAACCGCGCGCGAGAGAGGGAAAGCGAGAGTGAGAGAGATAGATAGAGAGAGGGAGAGAGAGTGAGAGAGAGAAATAGAGATAGAGAGAGAGAGGGAGAGAGCAAAATCCAACCCCAGTGCCATTCATGAAGCTGGCAATCTTGTGATTCGTGAATCCGACGGCGTCGTACGAGTTCGTCTCGCGGCCCGACACCCAGCGGAACCTGTAGATGGACATTGCTTGCCCCAAAACTCAACCCACGTGGTCCCCTGCTGCGCGTCTTGGCGATTACGCGACAATACGCGGAATCCGCCGCACACCTCGACCACCTCGTCGTCCTGCCCCACGAAGTAGCCGCACACCTGGGAAAGAAGTGTGAGGCTAAGACTAGGCTGAGCATAAGCCTAAGCCTAAGCCAAGCCTGAAGCCTAAGTAAAGCGTAGACCTAAGCCTAAGCCTAAAGCTAACTAGGGAAGTATCTGAACTTGCCATCGAACTTTGAGAATTCAGATACACCATTCGACGCGCCGTGACAAGAGCATTCCAAATATGTAATAAAATCAACGGGAGCGCATAACGGTAAAAAGTTATGAGGCTTCAAAGTCGGCAAAATGACGAAAAACAGCATCTTTGAGACCCTGTATCGTCCCGCGGAATGGAATTTAGTCTAAACTGATTGGTGCTCCTTGTTCAACAAAGAAAGCTCTTTCAAATGAGCTATGTTACATACGGCTGCCAAAAATTTCCGCAAAAAAATATTTTTGGAATGCAGTGTAAGGGTAGGGCTTGGCCAGCTAGCCAGACTTTTCAAGAATTTGGCGTAAAGCGCAGGTAAGATAGCCCATTCGAAAGGGAATTTTCTGCTGATCAAGATGTACTGTTCCATTTTTGACACACCAAATTCTTCGAATTCACACAGAGCCTTAAAAGGACGGTTTCCGACGATTTTGCCAACTTTGATATAGAGAGCATCCAATCCTATTAGTTTTGTTGCCGGAGGTTATTTTATCATCGCTGGTGCTTTTTAAGGGTCACACAGTTGAGAAAAACTTATTCCCGAGTTTGGAAATGCAAAAAGTAGGAACCGGTCAAAAAGCAAAAAATAAAAATCGTGAGGGGATCCGAACCCTGGTCATACAGCCCAGAGACCCATGCGCAAACCACTAGGCCACGAGACCGATGGACAGGGTGCGCTTGGAGGGGCTCTTCTCGCTGCGGCGCCCTTCCATGTAAAACTTAAAATGCTCATAACTTTTTACCGTTATGCGCTCCCGTTGATTTTATTACATATTTGGAATCCTCTTGTCACGGCGCGTTGAATGGTGTATCTGACTTCTCAAAGTTCGATGGCAAGTTCAGATACTTCCCTAGTAAGCCCAAGCCTATGACTAAGCCTAAAGCGAAGCCAAAGCCTAAACTTAAGCGACTCACCCTTCCGTCGGCCCGTCGAATCGCGTGCCCAAAAGCTTCATAATGGCCCGAGCCGTACTTCGTGCGCGTGATCCTTAAAACTCGGGTTACAAAATCATTTTTAAAAACTTAAAATCGAACTGTTTTTACTATTCCTGAACGTGAAAACTTGCCAAATGTGATTAAAAAATACAAAAATATCGATTATTCGACGAAAAATGCCGTTTTTTGACCAAAATTTCGGCAAAAAAGTTGTTTCCAACTTTTTTTTGATTGTTTTGCCACTTGAAATATCGTTAAATTTTGCTAAAAATACGGTTAAAACACTTACTATTATGTTGTTGGGCATTTCTGGACTCTACGTAAAATCCCCCTCCCCCCGATAATGCAAAAGATCCTAGCTGCGTTATTACCAGTATGCCACCCATCCGCGCGCCTCCGACCCATCGGCATTGGGGATCTAAAAAAATTTTCATCTCCAAAATCCCCTCCAAAAAACCGTTAAAAAGTCGGCGGTGGTCTTCCCGTCGCGGATGTTGCCCAGATAATCGATGACCGTCCAGTATTCTTCGCCAATCTGTAAAATATCGTATAACTTTCCTGAAGATAAAAAACCCCCTTTCTAACCCAAAAAAAGGCCAGGTCCGGATAACTACATTCTAAAACTAAAATTCGAGTTCAAAATAAGATTTTTGGCACAAAAAATCTATTTTTTTTTTGTGTTAGAAACCCCAAAATACGAAAATTTCGATCAGCAATAACTTTTTTGCCCCCAAATATACTTAAGACCTCCTAAAAACAATATAAAACGCTTTATTGAGTACTGGGCCACCCTTGGCCCATGGGAAAAGTCAGTCACAACCCCCCCGCAAATACCCAAGCACCCGAAACATTCACCCATATGGCCGCGAGCGGGGCGCAGAGGAGGGCGAAGACGGCAAGCCTCAGCTGCATCGCTGAAACTGGGAGCGTTGAATGCAGTGTTTTTAAGCGGAAAAGCGATAATAAAGAAAAACAGTTTTTACCCGAAATTCTTGTAGGAAATCGGCCATTGTGGCCGAAAAATTCGATATTTTTTGTATTTTTTTTTAATCAATCAATCAATGATTTGTAATGCTTTAACGTTTAGAAATAGTAAAACAAAAACAGTTTAGAAACACTTCCTCTATTTAAACTGGAAAAATCGGATCCCCCAAATAGTTGGTTCCCCCCGATAATGCAAAAGAACCTTCCGCTGCCCGATCAGCCGTTCATCTCACCCAAGCCTAAGCCTAAGCTTAGCCCAAGCCTAAGCCTAAGTCTAAGCCTATGCTAAGCTTAAACCTAAGCCCAAGCCCCTAATAAGCCCAAGCCTAAGCCAAGCCTAAGCCTAAGCTTAGTCCAAGCCTAAGCTCAAGCCCAAGGTTTAATAAAAATTCGTAAAATTTCGTGAAACAAGCCCGAAAAAATCGCGATAATCAGAAATTCTGGGAAATTAAAATTTAGATTTGACTACCAGTATTTCTAAATTAGAGTTGTACGAGTCGAAAAAGTCACTGCAAGCCAAGAGGCCCTTATCGCGCGCCGATCCTCTCAACAAGGAATTTGGTGGACCCCAGGAAAATGCCCTGTTTTAGGGGGGTCTTGACACTTGCGAATTGCGTTCCACCCACCAAATTCGGTCTGTAGTTGTTGCAAGACTTTTCAGCCCTACAGCCCTGTATTACTCATGCCAAAAAGCCGCAGCCGGGCGGATTAGGCTGGTCTGGCCCCCAACTTGCCGTGGCCCTGATAACGCTCGATGACAATTGACGGGTGGGAGGGAATGCGTGGGAGTGCCGCGGAAAGATGCGTAAAATTGAGGGGTGTTATGTATCGTAACGTAGCCGCACTGCAGGGCAGCGTAACGGGGCGCATCGCAACGGAAACGTGGTTTAGCGGAACGTAGCGTACTGGCCCGTAATGTCGTGTACCGTAACGTAGCGGAACGTAGCGTAGCGCCGCGGCCTGTCTCTCTCACCATAAGGCAACGTAGCGTAACATAGCGTAGCGCAACGGAAACGTCACGTAGCGTAACGTGGCGTGGCGGAGCGTAGCTTAGCGGAACGTAAATGCTAAGTTCACTGAACGTTTTTTGCGTAACGTAGCGTAGCGCAACGGAAGCGTGACAAAGCGTAGCGAAACTCAGCGTAGCGTAGTGTCGCGAAACATAGCGTAAGGTAGCGTAGCGGAGCGGAACGTAGCGTGGCGTCGCGGCCTGTCTCATATTGCGTAAGGCAACGTGGCGTAGCGACGCGTAGTGGAACGTAACGGAAATCAGACCAGCAAACCATAGAAAAACCATTTAAATCCGAAAAATACAACAAAACAATAATTGCAAGCCTGGGCTAGGCGTAGCGCGGCGAGTGCCGTTTCGTCGAGTCAGAATTTCAGATAACAACTCCCCCCGGTGTAGCCTTTTTGGCCGGGGGTTTAGAAGACTGGCTGGCAGGGGGGAGAATCGGCTCCACATTTCTCGAAATATCAATAAAAAGCGCGACAGGACCCGAGGGGGGGGGGGGAGAAATGGCTGATAGCAGACGGCCGAAGAAACACACCGAATCAACACTTTTCCTATTACACCACACCCAAGTGCCCCGGGGAATTCTGCCCCGGGGGCGAATGGAACGGAAAATTCAGACGAAATCAACGATTTTTAAATTTCAAAAATAGCCCGACCGCACCTTGGACTGCGCCGAAACACGATATTTTGGCTCGGCGGACGGCGAAGCTTGCAAAAAAATATTCGCGGTTCTTTGGCATTATCGGGGGGCAGAGAAATTTTTCAAATCTAAATACCTGAAATGGTTCTAAACCGTTTTCCACGATTGTTAAACGGAAAAATTCCTTTTCTAAACTTTGTTAAAACGCAAAAAAAATATAGATTTTTCGGCAGAAAAGTTTTCGAATTTTCAAAACCCCAACTTTTCAAAATCGCTAATTTTCAGAGGCCCGAAGTTTGCATAGGCTGTAGCATGGTTGCATGCAAATCCCAGATTTTCGAAATTTTGGCAGAATCCATCAGGATTCCCGACCAAAAAAAACCTTAAAAAAAAAGGAACCACGCCAAATGGTGTGCAGAATTTTGCGCTGATTTCGAATCCGCCTTCAGCATCTGCGAAACGGCCAAATTCAAAAAGTTATGAAGCTTTTCAGGGCGACAAAGGCAAAAAATGTTACGAAATTGTTCAATTTCCGCCTTTAAAAATGCATAAACCACCTTCAGAAATTCCAAAAAACCCACGAAACGTCTGGGTGTTCGAGCGTTGCTCCCTTATCTTCTTGCGTCCATTTTTGCGTGTCTAGCATTCCGGTGGACGGACGAGTGGGGTGGCTGCCGGTTGCTCGAGTCAGACTTCTCTCAACGTACCGTTTTTGCAGGAATAATACCAATAAAATGGCGGTTAATTAAAAGGTAGGGAAAATCTACGCAAAAATCCTGGTTCTAGTTCTTTAGCGGGGGGTATTATCCCAGATTTTATGATTTTTTCATTCTTTCCCATTATCGGTCAGCCCACTTTTCTGACAATCCAGAAATAAATTTAAAACATTTTTTAGTACTATTTTAATTTATTTCAAGGAAAAAAACAAGCAAAGTTTATAGTTAAAATTTTGGTGGAAATTCGGCCGTTATTGGGGCTAAAAATCGTTATTTAGATTTTTTTTAATGAAACGTTGTAAAGTGTTGTGTTTAGGAATCGTAAGAAAGCATCTAGAAACACTTCTATTCATCTTATAAAAACTGATCAGAAAGCTGGTTTCCCCGATAATGTAAAAGAACCGAGACACCAGCCATTTTTCGGTATTATTTTCAAGCAATCCGTTTCGAACATGAAAAAATCCATTAAGATTTTTAATTATAGCTTAAAACAATGTGATCAGAGACAACAGCTTTCAAAAGCCCCCCGCTGACGAACCAGAGCAATAGCCCGTTAAAAACTTTAAAAAAAAAAACGGCTCAGGCATACAAAAATTGACGGGCGCATGGATTTCGCGACGCCGCGACACGCCACCCTTGCGCGTCCCTTTAAACGTTAGATCAATTGAAATTGAAATAAAAACCCATTTTGCAATGAAATGTATTTAATCGTGGAAATGGCCCCTTAACGACTGCTTCTTTATTACATTATCAACGAAGAACAGAAAACAGAGACCAAGGAAAAGCAAAGAGGGTGGGTGAGAGAGAGAGAGAGAGAGAGAGAGAGAGAGAGATAGAGAGAGAGAGAGAGAGAGATAAAAAACTCAACGAAAAACAGGGGAAGCCGATGGACACAGTCAGTAAATGGAAGGGGGGGTTGAGGGGGTGAGAGAGTGGATAGAATGGAGAGGGAGCAGAGAGATCGAGTACTCGCAATGTGACACGGACATTGTACAATATTTTCGCATATCAAAAGAGTGGGAAAGACTAGACTACAGAACACTACAGACTACAGACTACGAGAGGGTGAAGGGAATATTCTAGAAGTGGATATGCGTCAGGGATCATCATCACAGGGTGGCAGAGACCGGGGGGGAGGAGCCGTCGTCTACATCGTTCGCACTGCCGAGTCGGCCATTTGCAGGATGAAGCTGAAAAAGGGGAAATTGGAGATTTGTAGATATCGGACGCTCAGGGATTACTTTAAAAATGTAGAAATTTTGAGAATATCGCAATTTTATAATGCCGAAACTTAAGATCGAAAATTCAGAAAATCGTAATTGATAATATCGAAATTGATAATGTAGAAATTTCAGAAGATCAAAATTCATAACGTCGAAATTGCAGAATATCGAAATTCATAACGTCGAAAAACGTAATCCAGGGCACTCAGAATTTCGAAAATTATCACGAAAAAAATTCGATAATATCAATTTACATAATAGATCTCCCGGAAAAAAAAACCGTTTTCGGCATTATCAAATTTCGACATTACGTTAGCAGATCGAAGCCCACGGGCAGAACGTACCGATCGAGCCAGGTGACCGATTTCGGGGAGAACGAGCCGCCCTCCAGGAATCCGAGATGGCCGCCATGGGCCGTGAGCACGAAGGCGACACCGTCACGTTGCGAGCACATCTCCTGGAAACGGAAAAAGGTGGCGTTACTTTCAAAATGTTGAAATTCATAATGCCGAAATCTACGGCGCTTTCGCATTATCAGGGGGGGGGGGGCAAAGTTCGTTTTTAGAATAGACAAGAAAATTTAAATTTTAAAATAAAAATTGTGGAACTATTTCTAAAGCGTTTATTGCTAGCCCTACTCATAAAAAATCAAATTTTAAAAACAAAAAAATAAAAAATGCCTATTTTTAGGCTAAAAATTGACGATTTCGGCGAAAATTGCAACTAAAAATTTTTTTAGGTTGTTTTTATTGTTTTCCACTCGAAATTGTGTTAAATTTCAATAAAAACACGATTAACGCACTAAGATTAGGCTACTAGGCATTTCTAGACATAAATATTCCATTTAGCAAAACCCGAAAACCATACCCTAACCGGCTCCCACAGGGCCTCGGGCACAATCGGGTCGTCGCGCGCATTCAGGAAGATCATCGGGATGGGGAGGGGACGCTCGGAGGCTTGGAGACGGGGAAGGCACGAGACCCACGAGTAGAACGACTCCACTGAAATACAATTTACGATCACACGAGGGAACGGCTTACGCGAGGAAAAGCCGAACACTTTGCGGTTGTACTGTTCATCAAAGGCGACGATGGAGGTGGCCGTCCAGAGGCGTTGCTCGTCGACAAGGCCCGCCTTCACGTGTGGCTCGACGACTTCCGCGTAGTGGGATCTGAAAATGGAGAGTTGGAGAGAGAGAGAGATAGTGTGAGAGAGAGAGAGACAGAATGAGAGAGGAGAGATAGATAGAGAGAGAGCGAGAGAGAGAGGGAGAGAGCGAGCGAGAAATTCACCTCAACAGTCGCTTCATATTCTCCGTGATGATGTAGTTGTACGCGCGGCGCCCGTTCGTCCAATCATGATAGAACGGGGTGGACGAGAGAGCACAGTATCCCTGGCCAACCGAGAGCCCCATCATCAGCCGGGAACTGAAAAAATACCATACACTACCGAAGGGCATTTTTCAGAATGTCAAAAATCAGAATAGAAATGCCTAATTTCATAACGGCTAAAAGTCAGAACGCATAAATTTCAAAATGCATAACTTTGGGATGCAAAAATTTTATGGTGCCGAAATTTCACGCGGTAAATTCAGTGCCCGGAGGATTAGCGCGGATCAAATTCAGCCATTCCGAATTTTATGCATTCTGATCTCTGCATTTTGAAATTTAAATATTCTGAAATTGAGGCATTCTAATTCTATGCATTTTGAATTTAGCCATTATGATTTTACGCATTCTGGTAGAAAATCACTACCGATTCGCTCATTTTCGCGCTACTGCTCTGCGCCTCTCTTTCATCTATCTAATTCTATCGTTAGAGATGCGCAAAATTACCCTACGCAAAAGGCTTTATCAAACAACTTTCGAGCTCCTGGACCAAGCCACACCTCTTCTCCGGATCGGCCTTGGTCGACAGCACGTAGAGCGTGGTCAGATTGCCGCCCATGCTGAAGCCGATGGGGGTGAAGCGGGTATCCCGGTACTCTGCCATCGCCCAGTCCATCATGGCCGTCAGCTCCTCGATGCCGCCTAGAAAAACGGAAGCTTGCTTCACGAGCAGAAGCCCATACCGTAGCAGAAAATCCGGCTGCCCGTCAGCTTCTCGTCGCGCAGCGCGCCGAGGTGGTTGAGCACAATGCAGCGGTAGCCGCCTTCTTGGGCCGAGTGGACGAGCGTCCTGAAAAAAAACATCGATTAAAGGGGTAATCTAGTCATTTTTTTCAAATTAAATTTTCAAAAGTATTTAATAAAAAAAATTTTTTAATTTAGTACAGCTTCGCCAAGTAATCAAATATAAAGCGTTTTGAACTGTTTTTAGTGAGTTTAACTAGACTACAAACAAAACTTTCAAAATAAAGTTAGAAAAGTGTACGTAAAATCGATATTTTGATCGTTTTGGTTCGAAAAAAATCAATTTTTAGGCCTAAAATTAATTTTTTTAATAAAATTTTGGACGTTTTTAAGCTTCAAAATCGTCAAAAAAATTGACAAACGCATCCACTATTTTTTTGCAGCACGCACGGTACCTAATATAGTTGCTCTCGCTGGAGTTGGCGATGCCGGGCGTCAGCGTGAAGGTGATGTCACGGTTGGAAGGGTGGGGGCAGAGCGGCTCGAACACGTCAAACACAACCGTGCTTCCTAAAAGCCAGATTTGATCCCCGCCTAAATCCTCACCATCGGGGAGAACTTGTCGAATTCGTCGGTCGGCCGTCCGCTTCAGATTGGCGTGGCCGAGGACACCGTACGCAGCCGTCTGCACATGGCCGCTCTTGCCCCAGAGTGGTGGGGGGCGATATCTCAAACAAAAAAACGTTGAGAGCGACTGAATCGAAATTACGGCTCGGAGAGGAGGGGGATGCCGGCGACGATCTCGGCGATGACGTTCTTGTCGCTGCTGTCGCCTAGCGTCACCTCGGGCTTGCGCGGCGATTGGAAGATGTGCAGCAGGCGGATCTGAAATTAAAAATCGTAAAACGTGGTTCTTTGGCATTATCGGGGGGCAGATTTTCCCTGTAAGTAAAGAAATTACTACTAACGCAATAGAAAATGTTTTGATGGTTTTTTAAGTAAAATTTAACTATATTTTACGTGGAAACAACTATCAGAAAGCTTAGAGGTAATTTTTAGCGGCAGTTTGGTCGAAAATCGGCTTTTTTTAGCCGAAAAATCGATATTTTTTGTATTTTTCCAGAAAAATTCATAGTTTTTGAATGGAAAAAAGTTTTTAAAAATAAGAAAACCTGCTTGATTAGAAAAAAGTCGCCCCCGATAACGCGAAAGCACCGAAAACGTAAACTCACGATGGAAACGAGTAGAATGAAGCAGATAAGGAGCTGTGGCGGGGGCAACTGTTCGCCATAGGGGGCCCCGCCGCCAAGGACCGTCCAGTCGGGTACGGCCCACGCTCCCCAACCTGCCGCTGCCACTGCCGGAGTACCCGTTTTGCTGTAAAAAAATGTTAAATGGATCGGAAGAGATCGGGAGACGGAAATGACGCGAAATGGAGCCCAAGAGTACAAAAACACAAGCACACAAAAAACAGCACTGTTCTATTTGGCCCGGGCAAAAATCTACGCCGGGGGAAAAAGCCGCAGGGGTGATGGTTTGGATATTTTTGCTATTTTTACAAAACTTTGAAGACGCCATTCGATAGAGCATCAAAAACATAGATTAGCAGTTTTAATTATACCCCAAAATAATCCTACTATATATAAAAAAATAGTGTCTGTGTGTGTGTGTGTGTGTGTGTGTGTGTGCCACTTTGCATGCAACTTCCGTCAGGTTGTTCCAATCGTAGCACAAGAAGAAGAGTAGTTAGGGGCATGTTTGATACGTCATTAGGAGCGTAATGGGCTGGAGATGACTGCACGCATATCAGATTTATAAAAATAGCCTACTTTCGACATTAAATTTTAGTTATTGTTGAAAAATCCGAGATCCTCTTTGTTAGGAATCAATTAGCATACACCGGAAGCGCGGGTGGCCTATATAAAGGAGCAGAGAGCGCATTTTTCACTTTTTTCAGCATGGGTCGGACCGAATTATGCAAAGTAAAAACTTTCATTGGTCCAAAACGGGGCCAGGGTTGAAAAGTCGCGAAGCGGCTTTTCAACCCTGGTGTAATTTAAAAAGCCAAAATAAGATTTAAACACCTTTCCACCTAGATAACAAAAATTTGAGCCAGAATTAAAACCCCCCTTCTATTCTATAACTAAAAAAAACAGCCAAAATAAGATAAACCAATTCAACACCCGTTTTCTGAGGTGATTTACCTTGTTCTTGCCATAGCTTTTTTGTATTACGTTCTTTTGGGCTATAATAAAAGCCCTGGTATATTTTTTGATGCTCTATCGAATGGCGTCCAAAAAATAGCGAAAATATCGAAACGATCCCCCCCTACGCTTTCCTCCCGGCCAAATAGAACAGTACCCAAAAACACATTCAGAAACGAAACAGCTGTTTGGGGCGGAAACACGAATGGACAGTTTTTCTCGAGGAATCCCATCGACCACAATTCACACCTCCAAACCCCCCACCAGAACAAAACCCACTAAATTACCTCTCAAGCGAATACTCGGAGAAATTGCCCATCTCCCCGGTGCTCAGATTCAACCGATCAGCCAGTGGAATAGCCCGGAAATGCAATAGGGCCGCCGTCGAATCCATGGTAACACAAAACGGGCTCCTTTTTTCGGGTCCGTTTCGAGGCTAACAGTCCGCGGGCAGCAGGTGGCGGGAATATAATGAAGGGGGGATCGCCCGGGTCGTGCCCAATTTATCTCCACTTTTCACGCCGCCCACTTCGACGAAACGCTGTTTTTGGGGGCCGGGCAATGGTCAAGGGAAGGCGGCGGGGGTTCCCGTTTTTTTTACTTTTCCCAAAAGTGATAAGGGCGCATAGTTTTGGGCGCAAAAATGCACGGGAAGCGCCTGTGAAGCCGCACTGTGTCTGGGCGCCCGTCAATTATTCTTGCCCTTTTTTTGGTGCCTGCAAACGCTCACTGCCTGTCAGGGCGCGCATGGGGGTGGGGGAGGGCGTGGCCTAGTGGTCTAAGGCGCCGGTCGCAACTCCAGGCAGGGGGTGCTGGTTCGGTTCCTCTGACCGACAGAAGCCCCTTAGGGTTTTGCACTTTTTTGCAAAAGGTACAGAAGGGGATCCAAAACCGCTCTAAAGAGAAGCCCAAGCGGAAAATAAAAATTTTTGCTATTTCCCGGGCTCTAAAGAAGAAATTGTCTCAGATGGTGCCGATTCGCTCAATAAAGGAATATCATAATAACAAAGACATGTACTGCCCAAATTAGCCACAATTCAATGATTTCGAGCCCCTTCATCCGTACAAAGCTGAAACTTTGACTAGCTTCAGTTGTTCAATTATTAGGATCTCTCATTCCGCACCTTTTTTACTTCCCAGGACCGCAGAAGTACCCAATTTGACAGTGCCGATTCTTTTCCGATGAATATCGGTGAAAAACCCCGGAAGAATGCGGCTAAACGCAAAGAAAAACGCGGCGCACAAAGCTCGTATTTTCGCAATTTTTCCGGCTTAAATCCTAGATAAATCCTTATTTTCACGCTAAATCACCCTTAATACCCCTCCCATAATGTGCGCAAGAGCCTTCTCTATATTTCGTATCGGTGGACTCCCCACAACAACGTCGTTTTCAAAAGTTATATGCATTTGAAGTTGAAAATTTGTGAGTTTTTTTTGGCCCCTTTCTTTGCCTCTCTCTCGAAAAATCATGGATCGGTAGGCAAGCATAGTGTGCGCGCGCGCATAGGAACGCTACGGAGCGCCCCCACCGCTCATGAGCGCATTTCTTAATATCTGACAGCCAGTGCGCTGAAACGCTTTCCGAACGGCCGGCAGCTGTGTTTTAATTATTTTTGACCACCAAGACACACCGCTGAAGTGGCAGCAGCCACGTAAAAGTTATCGGAAAATGTGCCGAGATGGGTGTCTGGCATTTGTTTTGTGGAAAGGGTGATCAAAATACTAGGCACAATTCCTGGAAAATCATTGATAAAATATATACTAACCAGTCTGGTTCTTTTACCGTATCGGGGGGGGGGGCAATTTTTCCTAAGGATCCAATTTTTCTAATTAAATAGGTGTTTTTAAGCAGTTTTTTTACAATTCCTAAACGTAAAAAATGACGATTTGGATCAACAATACAAAAATATCGATTTTTTTTGCCAAAATGCCGACTTTCGACTTAAAATTTTTATGGTTTTTAGATAGTTTTACTAGTTGAGATATAGTGAATTTTACTGAAATCATTATTAATATCTTTAAACGTAAAAATTCATTTTAAAATACTTACTATTACGTTACTAGACATTTCTGGGCTTATAGAAAAAGCCCCCCCCCATAATGCAAAAGAACCGGCAGCCCCAATGAAAAAATCAATAAAAAAGTTCAGCATCGCCTAGCCAACCCGCTCGAATCAACAGAACAATATTTAGCATGACGAAGAAAGGGCAGGCTGAGGGCAACGAGGCTGCGAAATTGGGGGGATTCCCCAAAGGTGGGACGATGAAATGGGGGTTGATTCGAGCTACATGAAATCAATCTGGATAGCAAGTTCGTCTGCGCGCCCCCGCAGACACTAGCAAATAATCAGGATGCTTCCTGGAAGCGGCTGGGGCGAAAATGGAGGGCATTGGCGGTTTTATCTTTCATGAATTTTTTCTAAGGATTTAATTTTTCAAATATAAATCGAGTAGGTGCTTCTAAACTGCGTTTTACAACACCTAAACGTAAAAATTACAAATTTTGAGCAAAAAAATGTAGCAAAATATCGGTTTTTCGAGGCAAAATGACCGAGATTTTACCCCCCGATTTTGACTTTTTGAACATTTTAAAAGTTTTTAGATAGTTTTGCTAGTTGAATATAGTTTTATGGTACTGAAAACTCTATTACAACACTCCTATACAAAAAACTAGACATTTCTAGACCTATACAAAAAGCCCCCCCCCCCCCACGATAATGCGAAAGAAACGAAAAACGATTTGCTAGATAATGACTTTTAATAACAGCAAAGAAACACGTAAAAGAACATTTTGGACTGAACCGCAATTTGCAGTGTTGTGGGGGCGAGTGAGGGAGGGAGGAAACCCCCCGGTGAATCACTGGGAATACCAACCAGATGGGTGGATGGAAGGTGTTGAAACCGGCCCCGGGAATCAAACGGAAAAAGAGCAAAAACGGAAAAAGTGTCTAGTAAGATAAAGCTCTATTTTAACTAGAAAAACTAGCTAAAACGTTGAAAAATATCAAATTCAAAATTTTGGCCAAAAATCGTCATTTCAGGTCGAAGAACCGATATTTTTGTATTTTTTTTATAAAAAAATGTAGCACTTTACGGTTTTACGTTCAGGAAACGTAGAAAACAGGTTTACAGATTAATTACATTAATAGATTAGAGACTTAGATTAATTAAACAATTTTCCCAAATAATTCGGTCAAAATGAAGATCAGGACCCCGTTTAACGCTTTTTGCGCTGCATTTCAGGCCCCCGAAGTCGTTGTAAGCCTCAGCCATACGGAAACTTAGTATAAAAGCCTAAAACAACTAATACGCATAAAACCTGTCGAGCTGAAGCCGTACAAATCGTCGGGAAGCGGGGTCTAGCCAGCCGGAGGGCGGGTGGTCGATCGATGTGCGGGGCTGGTCTCTTCGCTTTGCGCCAGTCTTCCGCTCTTCGTCTAGTCGCTCGTCCCCTAGTGAACAGCCGCCGCTAGCAGCCATGTTCCGAGGATTGATATGACGATCGAGAAATCGGTTCTTTCGAATTATCGGGGGAACATTTTTCTAGAGTCCCATGATAATGGAAGGTGTCTTAAAATGGTTTTTAGTAACATCTAACTCTATTTGAAGAGGAAAAACAATAAATAAAACACCCGGGGAAAATTTTGAGTTGAAATTTTGGTCCAAATCGGGCGAAGAATGTATATTTTTAAAGCAAAATTGGTACTTTTGACGCTCACTAGTTAGGAATAGCAAAAAAAAAGGTTAGAAACCGCTCCTCTATTTATATAAGAAGAATAGGACCCTTCAAAGGAAAGCCTCCCCCGATAATGCAAAAGAACCGCGAAATGACTAGTGCAGCTCCGGTCGAAATACTTAATTTTAAAAGTCTAGCAAACCACTTCACGTTCATACGAATTCTCAATCACCGGCTCTCCGAACATTCTGTTGATAGCAGCCTCAGCGTCGTCCACAAAAATATCCCTGTGAAATCGCGTGAATTCGAAAATTTATTGATATTAAGAGCAAAGACATCTTGGGAGGGGAGTCAACCGTTCCATAACAGCAAATATAATTAAGGGAGTGGCTGAGAACCAGGGGGGAGATGAGACGGAGCTGGCTGGAAAAGTGGGAGACAACAAAAAGGAGTGGAAGGGGGCAGCTGGGAATGGAGATCTAGGTAACAATAAATAATGATGGGCCCAGGAATCCGGAACGTTGGTAGTATAAACGAAGGGCAGAAGCATGGGAACACGATCGTGGTGGGGGGAATGGTGAGAATGGGTCGGTGGAGGAGGAGGTGGATACGGAGTCGGCCATCCGCTCACGTCGATACGGGCACGGGCAACAGACCCGTGACGTCGCCTATCGTCAGACATCCGGCAACCGGATGAATCTGGAAAACGCAAAAAATTAGGGTCAAAAAATTTTTCTCGAGCCAATTTTTCTACTATAAATATAAGCAGTGCTTCTGAGCTATTTGTCACTTTTTGAAACGTAAAAACCGACAAATTTTGATTACAAATAGAAAAAAAAATATAAATTCTTTACCCAAAAATGGCCCGATTTGGACGAAAATTTCAACACAAATTTTTCCGCGTTTTTTATTTATTGTTTTTCCGCTTCAAATACAGTTAAATTTGTACTAAACACAGCTTATAATGCGAAAGAACCAAAAATAATGGGAAATCAAAATTGAATCATACCTGCTATGATGGAGAGGGTACTTGGCGAGGGTGTTGGAAGGCAATGGTGCACTCATTGTGAAGATCAATACGGACGAAAGCTAGAGACAGGTTGATTCAAAAAGAAATGCGGAAATGTCCTCACCCAGGTCCGCCACCTCCCCTGCCGCGTCCGCGCATCGGTCCTCCGCCACCTCGATCGCCACGCGGCGCCCATCCACCTCCACGACCGCCCCGACTGCTGCTGCCACCCGTACTCGGCTTCTGGTCGGCTCCTGAAATAAAAACATTTTGGCTTGAATTCGCATGGGAAAACCGGGTTCAAAAAATTTTTGTGCCCAAAAATGACTAGTAACTTAATAGGAAGTATTTAAATAATGTTTTTAGTAAAAAAAATAACTATATTTCAACTAGAAAACCAATCTCAATCTTCAAAAAAATGTTAAGCCGGAATTTTTTGGTCAAAAATCTATATTTTTAGCTTTCTATCAAAATTTGTAGTTTAAACGTTCAGCAATATAGTAAAAGTCGGTGTAGAAACCCCTCCGCTATTTCTATTTCAAAAATTGGATCCTCAGAAAGAAGAGCGGCTTCTTTTTACGATTAAAAATTTGGAAAAGTACTATTTTTCACAACTTTTGGATAAAAAGTTAACAATTTTCGAAATATCGTAAATTTTGTTAACTTTATAAATATGAAGCCAGCGTAAAATGATATTACAACGCTTTTTT